ATTTGTTCCTTAAATTGTCCAGGGTGCATTTAAGCTCATAATCCTACCTCAGCCACCCCAAGTGCTAGTATTACAGGTGTGCACCACCATGCCTGGCCTCTATGGAAGTATTTCTCAATATCTAGAAGTTCCCATATCAAAATCATAACAAGAATAAAAGAAGAGGGAAGGGAATGCTGGAAGGTGTGTGCCAAATGGAATGCTAGCTCTCATTTCGATACTCATAATTCTTCAGAGAAACTTATTTGTATCCAAATTGTACAATTAAAGTTTAATTTAAAACGTGGCACTAGCGAGTGCCACCGGGTGAAGGTCAGAGATAGCGGAGTGGTGTCTGTCTGCCCATCCCCTGAGCAGATGGGTCCCGTGATAGCAGGGAGGACAGGCAAGTTCAGAGGCGGCTGTCTGTCCAGCAGCACACAGCCTGGAGACTTCCGGGCCTCCTGTGTCTGAGGCCCCTGGTGATGACACTGATCACCTGTCACCTCCTTCCAGTGGCAACTCCTGAAAGCACTCCCATCTCAAACCACCCCAGCCTGGGGATTGAGGCTGGAGAGCTGGCGTGGGGATTCAGAGCTGGGGCATCAATTTGGTGACCAGCTGTCTCTGGACATGCAGTGAGCTGAGACATAGGGTATGCAGGAGACTAGCATAGCAACCCCCATCCCTGGCTGAGTGGTGGCTCCTCGGCTTATTCCTACATGAACCCCTTCTTCTGGGGAAGGGATGGTCTACCAGAAGGAGCAGGGCCCAGACCTCAGGAAGGAAGACAGATGGAAGCCCAATCATTGGCCTTGCTGGACTGTAGCTTCGTTATCCCCGTTCACTCTGACACACACCCCTGTCTGGACCCAGCTCTTCTTGGGCTGCACGAGAGCTCAGTTTCTGCCCAGGGCAAAGCCCAGTCTGAAGTTCACTTGGGGTATCTGTTGGGCATGAACTGAGTGTCAGACTCAGGGGCAAAGTAAGGGCTAACTCTGGGGCCACTGGGGTTTGAATGTAGTCCCCAATATTTGTGCGCTGGAAACTACACCCCCCAGCACCACCTGTAACAGTCAGTGAGGACTTCAGGGCTCTGATCTGAGAAAGGTTGATGCTGTTGCCATGGTGAGTGTCAGTTACAGCAGGATGTGCTCAGCCCTGTGCCCTCTCTCCATTCTGACTTCTGCTTCTTCGTCTTGCCACCACAGTGTAGGTCCTCAGTCCTGCACTTCCCAGTCACCAGAACAATGAATATCTTTGTTCTTTATAAGCTACCCAGTCTTGGTTATTCTGTTATAGCTATACAAAGACAGACTAATCAGGGATCATCTCTAGCCAGGGCCATACAGGATGAGGCTAGGGATGAGCGTCCATGGGGCACCACTAGTAATGAGGCTTAGAACCTTTGGGCTCTGAGTGGTAAGACAGTCTCTGTCATGAAGATTTTCAAGTCAATGTCACAGTTCTAAAGTAAATTTTCTGCTAATCAGAAAGGCAGAACTGAGGGAGCGAGTTCCATACCTCCCCACGGGGTTCAGCACCTTGGGCTGCTCAACTGCCAGCTCCAGCCCCTAGCCTCTGCCTCAGCTCCTTCTTTTCCTTCCTCCTGGTGGCAGTTCTTAATCCTCCGCAGGAGCACCTGTTGGGAGGTGGAGGGTGAGACCGGCAGGGGCAGGAGGAGCTTGGGCCTCCTTCCAGACAACATGAGAACAATGTATCACTTTGTTTTCCTCCAACTGAAGAAGGTGCTTTGATTTGTACATGGATAACTCATTGCTTTATAGACTTTTAACTTCTCTGCAGACTTTGCCCTCCTCCCCTGGAGCAGCTTCCTCTCGCCAAGCCTGAGCCCAGGGCCACTGCAAATGTACAGGCCCTGTGACTCCTTGCCTGTGCCAGTACGGAGAACTGGACTTGTTTTACAGAAGGAGAAACAGGTGGCAGAGTTGCCCAGGAGCCCTCTCTGCAAGGGGCCGAGAGCTCAGGCCCCAGATGCATAGCCCACCCCGTGGTTACCATCTATCTGCAGCCCAAGTATGCTCTCACTCTCTGAGACATTGTGGTGAAAACACAAGGGGCATCTTTTTTTTTGGGGGGGGGGCGGGTGGAGGAGCTGGCTGTGTGCTAGCTCAGGGTGCAGAGGGAGCAGAGCCCCAGGCACTGTGGGAGCTTGTCTGACCCCCTCTTTCCTGAGCACCTTTCCCAAGGTTCTGTGCTGCCATTTGCAAACCAGGATGGCTTAGTCATGTGGACTGGTGCCCTTGAGACTGCAGGCACTCAACCCAGATGATGGCATGGAAGAGATGGCGTGGGCCCCTCTGGGACGAACTGTGGCCCCGGGTCAGATCGCCTATGCCTCATGCTTTCTTCTGAGCTGCTCAGCCTGGTGTTCCACACAAGATGCTGGCAACCAGTTCCCATCTGAGGAGGGGCTACCTCAGGCGGATGGGGGCCTTGTATACAAGGAGGGGTGGATGCCCCAAAGCTTTCCCCAGCACCTCCCTGTAGCTCAGCCCTTACCTACCCACCTGATCCGTCCTCACCCCAGCTGGCCCCCATATTTATAAACCATATGTCTGTGTGTCCCCGCCTGCCCTGACTGTTTGTACAAAGCCTCAGCTGCTTCCCCTGATAACCAGAGGACCAGAGGTTCTAGGGAACTGGGAGGGGCCCAGGGCACACAGAGTTCAAGGATGCGCTGGTGCGTCCCTCCCCCTCTGCGCAGGGACCTTTAATGGCTCCCCATGGATACTGAAGCCTCTAATGCATAGAACATAATGCTATTGCAATTCTCATGTAAGGCTTTAATTTCTATTGTCGCCCCCAGGAGCAATTCTAGATCGCTTGGCCCGAAGCCTCTTAGTCAAATGAGGAAATGCAGGCCCAGAGAGGGGAAGTGAATTGCTGTGGCCTACACAGGAAAGCATCTGCAGTTCTCTCTACTCCACTGCTCTGAACCAGCAGGGAGACATAGAAAGAGCCCAGTCCCAGGCCGCAGCAGCTCCAGCTCTGTTTTCTGGCTCTGCCTTTTTAGCTCTGCAACTTTTTTTGGCTGGTTGCCTAACCTCACCGGATCATAGTTTGTTCATTTATAAAATCTAAACATTGTGTCTTTTCTTCAGTCCCCTGCACCCAGAATAGGACCTGGTTGCAAGAGCTCAATAAATATTTCTCAGTCGAATGAAGGAGTGAATAACTCACCTTGTTTGTGAGCGTAGAGAGGTGCGTAGGGGGCCTCGGCAGTGCTAAGCACATGCAGGTACCTTGCCAGCGGAGCTCCTCTCCACCCTCAGCGACCCTCCAGGGCTCCACTCAGGGCTCCCCAACTCCCAACGCCCAATGCTGACCCGAAACTCACAGCACCTCCAGGCTCCTCAGTCCTGAGCTAGTGCTGGGGCCTCGACTCCCCTCTTCTCTCTCCATACCACAGCTCTCACTTGTCTCCTACGGACAGCACTAGTGACTTCCCTTTGGACTCCCCTGATCAGCGATGCCCCCAACCTCTGTGAACAGAATCCCTAGGGCTTGGGGCACAGGAAGCATTATGTCTCAGTGCAGTCCTGGAATGTAGGGGTCAGCACCCCCCGGGGACAGAGGAGGGAGAGACCAGAATTGGCCATAGCAAAAGGTCTCCAGAGCTGAGAGCCAGGGCCTGCTCAGAACTGCAGACAGAGCTCTGGCTTCTGCTCTGCCTGTCCTCCAGAGGTCTAAGGGCAGAGCCCTTCCCTCCAACCTCAGTATCCCAGCTCTGAGGCTCTGCTCAGGTCACCCACTTCCAGCTCTTGCCTTGAATTCAAATGTCATCATATCCAGGTGTCTGCAGACTGTGTTTATAAACACAGTTGGCACAGGGTACCCCATCCCTGACTGCTACAAGGCCCCACTCCTCCTCAGCTGACTAGGTCCAGAACCTGCCTCAAGACCCCCACAAAGGGTTAGAATTAGCTGAAAGCCCTTGGACAGGGGTCCAAAGTGGGACCCAGAGTGCCAACCCTGGAAAGGCCCTCTCTGGAAGCTTCCTGAGCGTAGGCTGAGATTTGCAGAAGGTCTTTCCGCCTGACTAAGCCCTGATTACGCAATGCCCTGCACAAGTCTCACTCGATAGACAGGGTGGAGAGGGCCTTGCCTGTGAGAGCCTGTGGTGGTCCCTCCAGGGCTTCCTCTGCTGCTACCAAAGGGGACCAAGGCAGCAACAGCTGCCCTGGGCCCTAATGAGGCCAAGGCCCAGGCAAGATGGGAGAGGCAGTGGTAGTGGCTGCAGGTTCCTGGGGTGAGAGTCAGCCTGTATCCCTGTAAGGTGAGCAGAAAGCAGTTTCTTGGCCATGGGGTCACTGGGTCTTCCCAGTATCCTGGAGTTTCCAAGAAAGGCTCAAATCCCTTCCCGCTGTGTGTCACAGACCCCAGAGCTGACCATCCCAGAGCCCATGAAGCACAGTGAGGCCAGAGGTACAGATGTGGGTGACTGAGGATCTCAACAGTAGACTTCAAGAGCTTCACACACAGGATGTGGATTCCGGACAGGAATCCTGGGGCCAAGTCCTACACCTGAGAGAGCCTGCGGACTTCCAATTTAATTTCCACTGTGTGGATGGAAAAGCTGAGTTAGCAGGGGAAGGACCCAAGGTACGGCCAAGAGCCAGGGACAGAGGAAGCCTCCAGCTCCCAGCGCAGTGCTTCTTGCCCTGCTACTGGCTGTGCCGACCTAGGTGGCACGAAAGCATCCATGTTCTGGGGCCACTCAGGAGGCCCTAGATCAACCTGTTGTGGAAAGGTCTGGATGAGGCTCACCTCCTCCCTTCACCCCCTTTGCCCACAGCTCCAGGGACTTGGCATGGACACCAGTGCCAGGGAGGACAGTCAATGATTCACGGAGGTTCTGTCCCAGGGGCCCTTCTCTGAGAGTGCCAGGCACCTGGTGTCCAGCAAGGCAGGACAGGGTTAATCAGTGATGAGGTAGGAGGCACAGATACTCCTATGAGGTGGGTCCCAACAGCAGCCCAGCTCAGTGCAGCCCCTGTCTTTTCCCCTTCTCTTCTCTTCTCTTCTCTTCTCTTCTCTTCTCTTCTCTTCTCTTCTCTTCTCTTCTCTTCTCTTCTCTTCTCTTCTCTTCTCTTCTCTTCTC